ACAAACTTCAAAACGCTACAGAATATTTACTATTGAATATTATTAAGATATTTTTTTACTAAAATTTTTCTTAAATTCTACTCTACAAAATAGCTATCTTAGATTTTTTTTTTACATTTTATTTAAAATTTAAAAATAATTAATATTTTTAATAAAATGTAAAAAAATTAATTATTGAGATATAGCTATAGACCTAACGTATAACTATTATTTAAAAAAAAAATCAGCTAAAAATATTAACTGGATCAAAAGTTATTTAAGTTGTCAGTGAGTGGTGGGCCACCCTGTATATCTTAAATTAAAGTTAATTTATTGTACTTTATTACAAAAAAAAACAATTTCGGATATTATTTTGTCTTTACGGTGAATATGGTTACAGAATGCTATTGTGAAAATTCTCGATTTTATATTTAAAATGTTTAACTTTATAATACTATATTTTTTTGAAAAGTTTATGGATTAATACAATGTTTTTATGAGAAATAATATTTATATCCCTTGTTCATTCCACATAATTTTTTTTAAAATAACATTATTTCTTTTTTTTACAAAATATTAACTTTTTCAACTTAACTTTTGAAAGTGTTTCGGAAATACTGACACTTCTATATATATCTTAAATTAAAACTAATGTATTGTACTTTATTATGAAAAAAACAAATTTGACCTTTAGACTTGTCTTCGTGGTGAAAATGGCTACCAAATGCTATTTTTGTGTGAAAATTCTCGATTTTATTTTTTACATTTTTAACTTTATAATGATATAACTTATTGAAAAGTGAATGGATCAACATAATTTTTTTATAAGAAATAATATTTTTTAATAATCCCTTTTTCATTCGACATACTTTATATTAATCAGGATATTAATAAGGAACTAGCAGATTATATAGCTTTTGGAATAATTCACCAATTTTTTAAAATTAAACACTATCTAAAGATTTGCATCGAAGCGTTTTTTTTTTTGATAGTGATTTTAATCACTGTCAGATATCATTATACTTGATCCAACAATGCCACGTCACCACTGTGCCACCACTCCCCTGTGCTGGGTNAATGCCACGTCACCACTGTGCCACCACTCCCCTGTGCTGGGTTTTTTTTAATATACTTTTCCAGTATTATTATTTTAAATTAATTGAAGCTAAGGTATAATACAATCTTATTTATTTTTAACCATAAATCGATGGTGTCTTTATATTTTAATTATGACAATTTTATATTTAATAATTTTATAAGGTGTTCAGTAATTAAGGAAACGGATTACTATTGTTCTTGTTGTCTGTTACAATTACCTGTTTTCTTATTTATTGAACTGCTGCATAGTTATAAAAATATAGAGAGGCGCTATTATAGCAGATTATTGGGTGTTAAGTAAAACATGATCAGACACAAAATATTAAAAAAAAAAAATCAAATAAACGGAGTTTTTGTATACAAAGTCAGTGGTATTAAATAAAAAAATGTTTATAAAAAAATTGTTAAATAATAAAATATTTAGACCTTTTCTAAAATAAAAATGAATACATCTTAAATAGATTACTCAAGAGACAGGTCGATTGTTACAAATAATTGGAACAATGTAAACCTTTTCATTATTCACTGAATACCCTGTATGTCTGTCTTAATATGTCCAGCAACTTAAGGCTAGATTCACATGTACGCGCAAACACGTGCGTCAAACCCGAAATATTCTATTCAATAAGTTATAGCATTATAGAGTTAGAAATTTTTAAAATAAAATCGAGAATTTTCACACAAAAATAGCATTTGATCATTTTCAACGTGAAAACAAAATAAAGTCCGGAATTTTTTTTTTAATATTAAAGTATATTATATAAGCTTTAAGATATATATAAAAGTATCAGTATTTCCGGAACACTTACAAAAATTAAGTTGAAAAAGTACTACTTTCTATACGCATTTTTATATTTTGAACCCCCCCCCTGTATTAAGGGAAATGGTCTGATTTAAAAAAACAGTATGTCGACTGAAATATGTATATAAATACTACGTCTCATGAAAAAATTGTATTTATCCATACATTTTTCAAAAAGTTATAGCATAATAAAGTTAAAAATGGAAAATACAAAATCGAAAATTTTCACACAAAAATAGCATT